AGAGATTTGGGTATGGAGGAAAATAGAGAGGGTTGTGTTTTCTGACACTTGGTGAGTTCCCTGGAACACCGGGGACACACATTCATGTATAAAAGACGTACAAAAGTGCAGTTTGCATGATAGGTCACCTTTAAGTTACTTCCCAACACTGATAATCAGGAGTAACTAATATATATATTTTTTAAATATTCTTATTTACCACCTTTTCTCTACACCCTCTGCCATTGTGTGTTAGCTGCTACGGAGAAGCGTCTGTCGAGGGGAATCTCCCACGCCAGTTCCACCATCGTGTCCCTGGCGCGCTCTCACGTCTCGAGCACTGGAGGGAGCAGCACCGAGCCGCTTCTGGACACGCCCCTCTGCACTTTCCAACTTCCAGACCTCACCGTGTACCGGGACGACTTCCGGGGCTTCATCGAGAGGGACCTCATCGAGCAGTCCATGATGGTGGCCTTGGAGCATGCTGGTGAGACAAACTGAACATCAACCCTCATATGACATTTGTATGATTTGTATGCAATGCTTGCTGCTTGAATGACACAGCTGTTTTTATTGTTTCATGACATAGCATGCATTTTCTGTAGATACAGAGTTACTATACTCAACGATATTAGCACATATTGGGTAATCGTGTCGATACACATCATATTGTTTAATGAATGAATGCTGACATGAAAGAGTTATGTGATATTATTTTTCCAGCATGAAAATCTGGTTTCAATACAGTATCCAAACTTCTTCATTTTTTCCATCTGGAAGTACTACAGCAATTGTATTTGAATTTATACTGTGCCATATTTGTTTTACAAACAAGAAGGCTAAGTTTTTCCTGTTTGCCTGCAGGGCGACTAAACTGGTGGACCAAAGTGGTTTCAAACTGTCAGAATCTGCTGCCTCTGGCGACAAGCGGAGATGGAAATTGCCTGTTACACGCCGCCTCGCTCGGTGAGTATCACAGACCTTTTTAAACAAGACCCTAATACAGCGCAGTTTCACTCTCCATTAGCATTCATTGAGCGAGCTTGATTGATGGTTTAAGCACTAATTGCAATGTTGCAATGCACGTTCACTTAGCCCTCTTAGCTCACTTAGCCCGAGCACAGAAAATTAATAATATCCTAACCAATGCATCTCTGAAGACATTGTTGTTTCCCTCAGTAGTGGATGGGAATGTAATATTAATGTGCTTAATGTGTGTTTCAAAAAGGTTCTAGGCTTACATTATAGAGTTAAAATAGCTTCTAATTATTTGCTCTAATGTATCAATGTAAAAATATTGATTGCAAAGTGTAATGGCTATAAAATGCTGGTCACCATCGGCGTTTGTCTACCTCGCTTTCAATATGTAATTCTGTCTGCTACCGTGTACAATCTCTGGTGAAAAGGAAGCCTTGATGTACTTTACAAAGCTTTGGGAAACAAAATGCAGTGCTACCTGTGCAGTGTTTTTCTCACTCTTTTCGTATGAAAGTAAATAGCATTAGCTCAAAAAGATCAAACACTTGTCCGATAACGCCATACCCCAATTTGCATATTATTGACATCATCATGCATTTAATGGCAATAAGCTTCCTGATTGTGTCCATTGCAGTGAGGGGAGGGGGAGAAAATCTGTGCTGGGGTTACTCTGACCACTTTTCGGAAAACATAACAGTATAACATATTTCAAAATATGTCCCCTGATGGTCTGAAAAAGTCACTAAATGTGTGGCTTGTCGTAGGCTCTGAAGAAATCTGAAGACGCAGTTGTCATTTTGAAATGCTCTGTTTTGCCACTTGAAGGCAAAACACATTTGAACTATCAGGGATACAATTTAACATAAATAAAAGTACTTCAGTTATTTTCATCTGCAAATATGTCGAGGGGTTTACAGTTTTCTGACGGTACCAGCATCCACTTTAACTATTTAACTTTAACTATTTTTTGTTTCACAGTTTATTCATTAATTCTGCTCTTTTAAATGGAGAATAGTTGTCAACAGTTAAATCTGTACAATTCCAAAAAAGCTCTTGAAACTCTTAATTACAACCAAACCATTATACACAATATTTTGATTGTTTGATTGTGTTTTTGATGCAGGTATGTGGGGTTTTCACGACCGGGACCTGATGCTGCGGAAGTCCCTGTATGCACTGATGGATCACGGGTTGGAGCGAGAGGCACTGAAGCGCAGGTGGAGGTGGCAGCAGACACAGCAGAACAAAGAGGTCTGTTGTTGAGGCGGAACATTTCTCTAGGTCATGTTTGAAACTCTGTGGGCAGGGCTAGTGTTAAGCATGGAGAAGCTGGTGGAGTCAGGAAAGCTGTTTTACTTGAATGCGATATACAGGAACAATGCACAAGTAAAGGCCTTTAAATGGCTGAAGTCTCTTGCATGGCAACAGCTCACTGTGGTGCGTTTGTTTTCTGTGTTCCATGTAATGCCAGCTGATCCAAAACAATGGAAACAATAACAGAGACAGGCAGGACAGCATTAGGTCGCTGTAAACTTTGTTCAAATCTCAGTGATTTCCAGTAATTTTGCATAATGACCACAGCCTAGATTGAGGACAGAATACTGGGTCATTTGGTGTCAGTAATTATGTAGCAGTATGCAAGTATTTATAGCTGTAGATATGTTTTGACCATCAGGCCTATGAAGAAATGCGTGTTATATCCATCAGAGGTTGTGCTTTAGCATGACTGTAACATTAATCAGAAAGATATACAACCACTTTATTCCCTACACTACCTCTACAAAGTTTCTATTTTTTGGAAATGCGTGAATTCAGTTATGTCTGTTGTTGAGGTGATAGTTGGTAATGGGTTTGTACTGTGTTACATTTTATTGAGAGGCTTTTTTTCTAGTACATTTTAAAATCAACGACAGAGGAAAACTCCTAACGTAATCCAGTCCAGTTAAAAAAAACTGCAAATAAATATGACCTCAATGAAATACTCTATACACAAATACCTCATAAATACTTTATTGCAGAACAGTTGTATTGGACTGCATTGATTGTACAGGTGTACCTAATAAAGTAGCCACCAACCGCTGTAACAACCAAACATTTAAAGGTTTGCACTACAAGTTTGTCAGCATTCAAATGTTAAAACCATTTCCATATACTTAAAATGGATTGTCTTCTCTTGGTCAACAACCTGTTACTCTTAGAAGGGTTCACTGTTACTTATTTTCATGAGCCATTTAACATCAGTTTTTGACACTGTGGTTTTAAGATTGTGTTATCATAACCCTACTGTTTGACTTTATTATCTGTAAGTGCTGGTATCTCCACCTTGTATTAATACTCTTTATCAGAACCCATGAGAGAGACTGTTTGGGTTGTGGATGCACTTTACTTCAACACTCTGCAAAGGCAAAAAAAAGATTTTTAGAGCCTTTTTTCTAACGGAACCAAATACCTCTCCTCCCCCTGACAGCGTAGCAGCACACTGAGTATGTTTTCTAAAGTGGTTGCAGGCAGCGTGCAGACACCCACAGAGGAGATGCCAGACGAATCACTGCTTGATGTTCTTCAACAGTTACCACAGAGGTGTCTTTAAGAAAATCACTTAAACCAAAACTTGCTCCAGTGGAGCTGCACTGTGGCGAGCGGTAGAGGACTGTGGCTGTGCTGGGACGCTCTCTCGTCTGAATGTTCTGCTTCGGTCAATAAGGACATTTATATTTTGAAGAGAATGTTAAGCCTCTGAACCCCACAACCCATACAAATTCAATTGTGTGTGACGAGCGCCTCTCTCAGGGAAACTAACCAAATCTCAAAGTAGTTTTATTTCATCCATTTCATTTCATTTAATAGTTTATTTGAACCGGGACAGTGCACATTGATGAACACTTTAAAACAACAATAATGCTTACAAGTGTAAACGAGCCGGATTTGAGCTTTGAGCTAATTTCCATCCGTAGTCCCGTCACATACAACATATAAGAACATGACATTTATATACACAAATAAATACATGATATGCAGGAAGAGCATCAGCAGCACATACAAGCATTTACCTTATGGCAGTACAATGTAGCAGCTTTGATATATAAAGTGCAAGAGAAGAAACCCCTGTGTTAAAGTGCATTTAGCGGTGATTACACGTCTGGTTGTTTCTCATCCATTCTTTAAGTTGATCTTTAAAACTATTGAGAGTGGGACAATCCGCATCTCAGTTGGGAGGCTATTCCACAATGAGCTGCCTTTAATGGAGAGGACATGTTGTCAAAAAGTGGTCCGTCTGCGGTGGACTTCACAGTCTCCTCTGGTTTCTGAGCTAGTGCAGCGTCCACTGTGTTTTTTGTGGATGAATTCCCAAGTCACTGTGTCTACATGTTTCATTTAAAATGTACCCACATCCTTTGAAAAACACGACATGCTGCGTTCCTCAGCGCAACTGGGAGCCATGAATGACTCGGCTGAGACAGACAGTCATTTAACAAATATTCAGTGAAACTGCAACTGAACTTCAGGCTGTTTACACAAAGCAGAGGAGAGGACAAGAGAGCGTATACTTAGAGGTTATACAAATGTAAATAGATCCATATCAAATAGCATTCTGAGCCCCTGTTTTCTCACAATATTGAAAATACTTGTGGGTTCTTTGAAGAAAGTTGAATAAAGATCATTTTATTCTATTTTTTGCAACAAAAAAGAGAGAAAAAAGGTCACAAATTAAACTTCCATACTTCCTAACTTACTTGTTTTCTTCCTGGTATTATAAATGCACAAAATAAATGTTTATGTTTTCCTGTCTTATGGCCATGACTGTGCTGTTAGGAGTGCAGGATTTATAATCAAAACAAAGCCATAGAGTGTAAAATGCTACAGAATGAAAATATTGGGTGAAATTGTGAAAGTTATTGATTAATGAACAGTTTCCTTATTTCCTTAAATGGAGATTCTGTTGCTACTGTGTGAGCGATACAGCGAGGGTTGAAAATGCACTATTGAAGTTTCTTTCCTCAATTGTTAGCATGTAACCTTGTGGTAAGACGCCATAACGTCAGTGCATGCTTTTGTGACACTTGACACTCCCTCTCTAAATGTGTGTGTGTCCTTCCTTTCTCCTCAGTCTGGTCTGGTGTACACAGAGGAGGAGTGGCAGAAAGAGTGGAATGAACTGTTGAAGCTAGCCTCCAGTGAGCCGAGAATACACTACAGCACCAACGGCACCAACGGGTGAGGCCTGGCTCAGACAATGCAGGGCCTGTTAACCTGACGCACACTTAGTCACACTCATGTTTTTATTCATGAACAAACAACTGCGCTCACTCTCTGAACTGAGTGACTGGGCCTCATTTTTAGTCAATCTGCTATTTATTGTAACAATATAAGATCGCGGGTACAAGCGGCCGAGATGGGTTTTCTCCGCAGGGTGGCTGGTGTCTCCCTTAGGGATAAGGTGAGAAGTTCGGTCATCCAGGAGGGACTCGGAGTTGAACCGCTCCTCCTTCGCGTCGAAAGGAGCCAGTTGAGGTGGTTCGGGCACCTAGTTAGGATGCCACCTGGGCGCCTACCTAGGGAGGTGTTCCAGGCACGTCCAGCTGGGAAGAGACCAATGGGTAGACCTAGAACCAGATGGAGGGATTATATCTCTTCGCTGGCCTGGGAGCGCCTTGGGATCCCCCAGTCAGAGCTGGTTGATGTNAGGCCTGGCTCAGACAATGCAGGGCCTGTTAACCTGACGCACACTTAGTCACACCAGAGTCCTGCACGGGTCGGATTTTCAAGACCCGCTCCCGCCCCGCACCCGCGACGTGCAAAA